GCTTATCACATGATTTGACATCTTCAGATACTTAAACTAATAAATAGTAAACTTTAGTAAATTGTACTATTATAGTTAATACTGAAATAGTAAACTGATTTGAAATAAAGATTTTTTTTCTGTAATTCGGTTATCTTTGAGAATGGGGTGTGTTAACATTCTTACGATAAATTGAATAAATCCCTTAAATCTAATGACTCCTTAAACTTTTGTCCGCCACTTTTGAATTATCCCGTATATGGTGGTATGGTAAGTGTAGCTATAGGCCTATATGATATTAATTTTTAAAAATAATTATAAATTTAAATAAAGACAACTTTCTTTAAAAGAGTTTAACTCGAATGTAGTTTATTTTTGAACGTTTTTTTTTTTTGTATTTACAACTAAGAAAAAGACGAATTGACCTACACTTTACGTAAGTTCTTAATTGAAAAAAAGCTGTTTAGAAAAGTACTAGTAGTGTTTTTAACTTATTGTCGGGCTTCATTTTTATGTAACAACTTTCTAGGAATCATTTTGACTGTTTGACTGGTTTAATTGATATTTGATAGGTTAAATAAAGTCTATTTTTAAAATAAAAAAATAATAATAAAATTGAAAAATTTCGAATGTCAGAATCATTTGTTGTGAATTTTACAAGTATGTTTTATAGAGATTCAATATACAAGTTAAAAGCTTTAATTTTTTAAAATTTTTTAATAGAAATCATACAGGATTTCGTAACAAGGGCAAACAGTTGAATTGCTTTTTCTGAAGCTTTCATTTCCAACTTTTCCTCTTCATTATTCTTTTTCCATTATTCCTAAATAATCATTCAAACATTTTGTCCTCGGATTTGTTTTCTTCTTCTTCCTCGTCCAAGTTAACATTTCCATTTTCATTACTCCATTTTTCGATTATTTCAAAAGAGGAATACTATTGATCCTCATATTCTGTCAGAAATGTTTATATATTACACGGATTTTTTTCACCTCTCGCTTGCGATTGAGTTTCCTTGAGAAAATCCTCGCTTCTGTCTGTTGTCTATTGAGTAAGCTCTATTACGATACCCTAATCTGATGATTCGCTTCCAGAAGATTGGTATGATAAATTATGTCCTTGAAGTAAAGATTTCATATCCTTTTGGTTTCGTCGTGAAGATAATTTTATCGTTTGGTCCGAAAATTTCATGTCTGTATGTTTATTTCGACTTCGTCTTCGAGGTTCTTCGCACAGATTTACAATGAGAGAAATTATGCAAATAAGAATAGCTAAGGCCCCGAACAAGACGAATGGGCATACGAAAGCCACTACGAACAGAACCATCCTGAAATAAACATCATCTTTGAGAGTTTGAAAATGTTTAAGATCTTTTGAGTTCATCCAGTTCTGTGATGGAAACGAAGGTTGTTTTGATCTGTATCTCTTCGTCTTCGAATGAAACCAATTAGCAGCTCGTTGGTACGGGATTTTTCTATCTTTTGAAAATAAAAATGATGATTTGTACTTTTTGTTTAAGTGATTTTTTTCTTTTCCAAATTTTCTACGTTTCTTAATATTGTAATTATTGTTCTTTAATGACTTCCTGTTTGTATTCATTTCCATTAACTTAAATTTTTTGAAAAGTGCATCGTGAAATTTTTCCATTCCTAATCGTCTGTTGTTGTCTTTCGACTTTTCTCTTTTATAACTCCAAGCTTTGTTTTTAGGAAGTATTCCATTCAAATTCCATTCGCCTCTCTTTTTCTTCTTTACATTCCAAAATCGGTAGTTATCTTTCGTCCTGGAATCTCTGATTCTTCGTAAATCAGTCCATTCTCCAAACAGGTTTTGGTCCTTCCTCTCCCATCCAAGATCTTTGTCCATTCTTCTGTCTTGTTCACAATAGGTGATTCGACAGAAAATTATCATCAATAATAAAATAAATATAAACATTGCATTCGTTATAACGAACAATTCGTAAAATGTCTCCGACAATCGCTTCGAAAACAAAGAATTAAACAATGATCATTGATATTGTTTCTTCACATCGTGAACTTTTCTGTACTTATTTGTTATTAATAAAATATAATTTATTAATTATTTTTCTTCACTTTTAAAACATATTTTAATTTTTATAGTTAATAACAACAAAAGAAAGAAGCTATAATTTATATTAGAGAATGTTTTTTAGAAATATGAGTGAGAAGAACGTTTTGTAATTCATATTTACAAACAACTCGTTCCAAAAGTCTTCGTATTTTGTTAAATATATATATATCAATAAAAATATTCTAAAAAGAATCGATGGAAGTTTTTAAGATCTTTGTTTATATTTGTTAAATATAAACAAAGTAATGTGATGAGGAAGATGAAAAGATGATGTATCGCTTGCGATTACAATTTCTATTTAAACGTCAAACTTAATTAACCGAAAATAATTTGATTATTAAAGAGAAATGACCTACTTCAAATTATATGATTAATTTTCTTAATATTGAATATGTTGCTTATCACATGATTTGACATCTTCAGATACTTAAACTAATAAATAGTAAACTTTAGTAAATTGTACTATTATAGTTAATACTGAAATAGTAAACTGATTTGAAATAAAGATTTTTTTTCTGTAATTCGGTTATCTTTGAGAATGGGGTGTGTTAACATTCTTACGATAAATTGAATAAATCCCTTAAATCTAATGACTCCTTAAACTTTTGTCCGCCACTTTTGAATTATCCCGTATATGGTGGTATGGTAAGTGTAGCTATAGGCCTATATGATATTAATTTTTAAAAATAATTATAAATTTAAATAAAGACAACTTTCTTTAAAAGAGTTTAACTCGAATGTAGTTTATTTTTGAACGTTTTTTTTGTATTTACAACTAAGAAAAAGACGAATTGACCTACACTTTACGTAAGTTCTTAATTGAAAAAAAGCTGTTTAGAAAAGTACTAGTAGTGTTTTTAACTTATTGTCGGGCTTCATTTTTATGTAACAACTTTCTAGGAATCATTTTGACTGTTTGACTGGTTTAATTGATATTTGATAGGTTAAATAAAGTCTATTTTTAAAATAAAAAAATAATAATAATAAAATTGAAAAATTTCGAATGTCAGAATCATTTGTTAAAAGTAATATTAAAAAAATTTTTACTAAAATAATTTAAGACGAATTTTTACTAATCTATATATAAAATCGAGACGGGTTGATAATAATAATAATAATAATAACTCTTCCGTGGTCACCACCTGGTCGTGGTGGGAGATCCCAGTAGTTTTACTGATCCATAGGGCAATACAGGCTGGAGCACATGCTCCTGGTAGGAACACCAATGCCAGTAAGGTCAATGGGGAGAAATGAAGCTAAGAGTGACCACACCCACATTATGTGAAGATGTTTATCATGGTAGTAATCAGATCAAAGTGTGATACCGGCTCGGACGTCGCCCGGGTTAACAAGGCCCGCGTTTGTGGATTAGGCAGAGGCTCACGTTCGAAAAATAGGCCACAGTCTCCCTTGGTTACTGGTGGCGAAAGCAGCACTGGCCCAAGCATGGCTACTGCAATGCCCTCAACAGATGTGAGGAACCAACTTAGTATTTGTGGTCTGTGGCAATGCATCCACAGACCACAAAGGCTGGAAAACCACGCCAACGGATGAAATGGACATCAGAAATGAACGAGTTTATCATCCGTACTTATTACGAAATCACAAAACTCGAAACAAACATGACAGCGTACAGACAACAATTACACCATAGATTCACTTCAGGTCATAAATACTAAAAACTACAGAAAACACATACTCAAAAATACAACACTCACAAATGACACATGCAGAAAATGTCATATCATGCCAGAAACTATACAACACATCACTTTTGAGTGCAAGCTCTTGGCACAGACAGATTACTTACATAGACACAATCAAGTAGCAAATATAATACACCAAGAGCTTGCAAAGAAACACAAATTGGTAGACATTCACGAACCATACTACAAGTATATTCCACAAACGGTATTGGAAAACAACACGCACAAAGTGTACTACGACAGAGCCATAATCACAGATAAAACAATTTATTACAACAGACCAGACATCACACTCATTGACAAACACAATAAAATCGCATACATTATAGACATATCCATTCCAAATACTCACAATGTACGAAACACACGCACTGAAAAAATTAGCAAGTACACAGAACTCGCCCAGGAAATAAGGCATCTGTGGAGGATGGATAGGGTAGTTATTGTACCTGTCGTTCTTTCCTGTACAGGTGTGATACCATACACACTACACAAAAGCCTGGGAACATTACAATTGAATAGAAATACATACATCACACTACAGAAGGCCACTATTTTGATTACATGCCATACTGTTAGGAAATTCCTGAATACAGACACTGACACACTTATTTAATTTTAGTTTTGTTTTGGTTGCTATGCCTTGACTCTGGTTCGGCATAGTACACAGCCACCGGTGTCAACCGAGTATAACCCACTAAACCCAACATAATAATAATAAGCGCAGAGCCCAAACGGTTAGGAGTTGAAAGTTGAAATTTGGTACACAGTTAGGGTACGTCACGAGAACGCACACTAAGAACGGATTTTTCGAATTCCCCCCCCCCCGAGGGAGAAAGGGACAGGTCTTTAACAAGTCTTTAACAATTAAAGTGTTAAGTAACAATGGAAGTGTTAAGAGAAAGCAACGTGCAAGATTTACAGGCACAGATACGGTTTTTTGAGTTTTTCGGGATATCGAATATATTTTTAGGCCCATCTAAAAATTCTCTAATTAGTCTGGAAACGGGTGGACCTAATTCTTGCATTCTGTGAAAACGGATAAGATTGGTTGTTATCTAATAATCTTAATCTTCGCTATGGTTACTTTTTGCCCGAGCAACGCCGGACCTATCTGCAAGTGTTTTAATAATGTTGATGTAGTTAGATTATTTTTTAATGTTTAAATATAATGCAACTACAGTATATTTAAAATTTATTTAAACACTTAAAATGTACAGGAAATTGCTTTAGTTTTATTTTTCTAAGAAAAAGAAACTACAAATCGAAACTGGATTTATATTTCTCCAATCAGTCATATTTGTTTCTTTTATATTTTCAAAACACTCGAATTCTGCCTCCAAGTCCTCATTTTTTAATTTTCTACCGTGATTTTTCTATATAAAGTGTTATTTGCATTACCTGAATAAGAAAAGTAAAATTTTAATTAACATTAAATTAATTTTATTAGTTTAAGTATCAATATAATTATGATATTTTCCCGTGATTATAGCATTTGAAATTTTAATTAATCATTGCTAAAATATTCGTAACAATTTACTCATCAGGGAAGAGCACAAAACTATAATGTCCACTTAATAATGGTGGAAAGAATTACGTAGAAGACTAAACAGGTGTTGCTTATCAACAAATCGGACCAATCTGTTGAGGAGGCGCGAACCCAGTCAAACAGTTTTCAATGGTTGATTGTGGGTTCGATTCTCATCAACAGGCTGGGTAAAGTATTCATTACTCAATTACTACAAACCCATTGCTTTGAGAAAGGAATACTTAGAGGTATACGAATACTTGGGGATATTCGTAACTCAGTTTGTGTCATGTAGTACGAAGTAAACAACATTTCGCTTTGATTAGTATCCGTTTTGGATTGAATTAATTGTATAAAGCTACGCAACGTATGATCATCTGCCGACGGAGGTGTCTCCCGAAAGGACTTTCTATGGGAAACTGGCCTCTAGGTATTAGATAAGTAAATTCGAAAACTTCATGTTGGTGAGGCGCGAATCCACGACCAAGTGGTGTTATTAGCTCGATTACTGATGGGTTGTGTTGGTTTTGTTCGTTCTTAGCGGTTCGTAAGACAATGTGAATCTAGCTTTTCTCATTTCTCGATTATATACTAGAGCTAACAAATATGGTATGATTCAGTATTACTAGACTCGCGATATTATTAGTTTTTTGTGTAGACGACCCTATTCTTTATTTTACAATAGCCGATTTAGCATTTTAATTTTAAGCTTCTAAAACCAATACACAAATGGATTAATTGTGTACTGTACGGCAACGCGACACGTGGGCGATTACTGAAGAGAAGGATGGACTTTCAAAGTGAAACTGGCCATAGTTAGTTGTTACGAACGTGAAGTAAATCCAATATACATGTATTCAAGTCACTTAGAATAATGTAAGATATAAAGTAACTTTCATTTTATAGTTTTATATTAGTTAAGATTGTTAAATTTCTGAATTAAAAAATTTGTATTATAAAATATATTTCTTAATATTTAAATATTGTAAATTCGCATTGATTACTCAATCAACAAATTTATACAAGACGTAATTAATGATTTATCATTTACTTTAGGTAAGTAGGTTAGAAGAGGTTAAGAGACTTTGTCCAAGATATAAGCCATGTTTTAGAGATTTGTATAATTTATGAAGTCTAGATGTAAGCTACCTTTCACTCTTATCATATTGTTTGTTTTAAGTTCAAATAAAAAAGTTCCCGACTCAATAAGCAGAAGGGCAACATCAAAATTGCATCAGTACCAAGATAAAACTGGTAAGAATTTGTATTTTTTTTTTTATTATAATAAAAACTTAATTATTGTAATAAATTTAAAATAATTAACGAGTGATTTATATTTTAATCTTTAAATAAATTAAAATTTTATTTTTCTAAAAGTTTTAAATTACTTAAAATAAAATTTATAGTTCAGTTACGTAGTTAAATTCGTAATGATTTAACATAATTAAAATTTATTTATTAAATAAATATTTTTCTTAAATTTATGTAAAGTCCATCCCCGATAAAACGAACGTATTGGGAGAGGTCGGCCTATTAATTGTGAATACCAGTTAAATCGAGAGCTTTGTTGTTCTAATGCAGCAGCAAAGTAACAGAAAACAAATTCTAAATTAAAACATTCTTATTTATAATAGTATTTTAGGTATAAATCTGTTAAAATTAATAATGTAAACTATATTCCGATCAATTTTTTGGCTTTGTGGATACTAAAAGGGTCTTTTATTAATATCCAGTTCATTACAATGTGTGCGATTGGGTAGTGAGAAACATGGAAACGTATCCAAGACAGACAACCCAAGAAAAATTCCTGGAGATTTTCGAACGCCGGATTTGATCTTTACTTCGATATGTCATTACATTTTGCAGATTATAAGTCAAAGGGGAAGGGAAATAGAGGGAGTCATATATCGTCCTCGTCCGTCTTTCCTTAATCTCGAGAACGGAGTCAGACAGATGAAAGATGAAACCAGATATGAAAACATTAGAGGCAGAAGGCCCCGATTAACTATACATAAACTTCCGGTCTAGACTGAAATTCGCGTGATTCTAATTCAAAATTTTCCCCCGAAAGGTGTTAGACAGATGACCGACACGACTTTATTGTTAAAGTCAATGTACAGTACAAGGGGCAAGCCACTACTAATTTGAGGTGGAGAGCATTGAAAAGTTGCAACCCGGCATTGTGACGATATCACAATAAAGAATTGCTCATTCCTTTTCTTATCTCATGATTGGATAATGTGGTCTGAGAAGGGCTATGGCAGAGCCCACCTGTATTTTAAGACTCACGTTGTTTTTACATGAAAAAGAAAAGTTTAAAATCCCTCTGATGGAGACACAATTATTAAAATGATAACGATAAAGACATTTTACATTTATTTAACAAGTAAACTATTACAGTAATTTAATATGAATTTTTCAATGTAGAAAAAATACACGAAAGTGTAATCTATAATCGTCTGTAAATCGAAAAATTTTCGATTTTTATACATTAAAATAAATTTGTTTCAGTAAAAACTTAAAAATGACTAAGTTTTAAGTGTAAAACATATACATACTTATTCACAATGACTTTTTTATAGGCTTCTTGGATTCTAAAGTTATCTCGTTATAGACCTAAATAATTAGCGCTCTCAGTTCCATCATTATTTGCAATTCAGCAGTGCTATATTCATAAATATAAAACAGCAATAACAAAAGAAAGCCTTTTATCTTATTGCTGAAAGAAATACTGCAGCAATATCATTTTCAATAGATAAAATCGAAAGCGAAGAAAGCCTCTTTTGAATACGTCGTTGATAGGAGGTAGTTCTTGATGAATTTTAACTTGGAAAGTGCTCGTTCTGCAGATGCATCAATTATATTTACAATAATTACTAATTTTATGATTTAACTACTAAAATATACTATCGAGTTTGCGAAATCTTAGACATTGCATTTTTCGCCTTTATGTAGGGTTATTCCTGCTCACCGTCTGGACTCCCTCATTGTGGGCATATCCGAACCATGTTCGATACGATTATAAAGACCCTATTAGTGTCTTCAAAGCGGAAAGGTTTAATTACAATTAGCAAACGAATAGCCAGATTCTCTATGGGATATAAGGCTAAATAATTACTCGGAATTTGGCAGGAGGCAGGCTGCCAAGACTCATCTCTTATTAAATACAATCTTTTGTTAAATTAAATTATTGTATTTAACAAGAGGTAGCGTTTGGTGGCTTGCCTCCTGCCAAATTCCGAGTAATTATTTAGCCATGTAGCCCGATAAAGTATCAAACTGTTTGTTTGGTATTTGTAAAATAGGTTAGCCTATATGAATTTAGCCTAATTTAAAATAAAGTTGATGCATTTATTAGTATTTGAGTAAACCAATCTATATAAAACATACATTAAAATAATTTTATCAAAATCGAACATTGAAACAATTAGTAGGCTGTTTGTATTGTGTACACTTGCTACAGATTTACCTTTTCTGCAGTCAAATACAGAAAACTTTCTAAAAACTTATAACACAGATTTTGTTTATACATCGTAATGATATTTTTACAAAATATAATACTTAATTTTGAAAAAAAATTCGTATATTTATCTTACATTGAGTACGGTTTATTATGTAGAGAAATGTTTTAAAGAATATCAAATTTAAAACTTTGAAAATTAAGAATCAAAGCCTTATTTATTTTTTATAAGTTGAAATTGAATTATATTAATTATTTTGCATATTATCGTTAATTTTTTATAACTATGAGAATATTAATGCAACAATAAACATTATAATGTAGGTATTTGTAAGGTAATGATGTCAACTTGAATATTTTTGTTAGTTTGTTTTCTAATGTTGTAGACAAATCGTTTTTCTTATAACAAAATTAATGAGAAAATATGTTAATTTTATTCTTTTAAAGATTTTAGTTTGTCCGACTTAGTTTGAATAAATGGCTTAGACTAAAAAATACGGTTCAGGTATCAAATTAAAGCTCTTATCCTGTAGATGATACGTCTGAAGAGAGATTTGAAAAAGGTGCAATAGTTCAGGCATGGCAAAATGACAAATGTATTGTACAATGCTGAGTCTTTGGGATAAACATGTCTCAGTCCAATTCCCTGTTAACTTTAGCCGAGCAATTTTTTTTTGTGTTTTGTAGTTTTATTATTATTATAAATATTGAGATGGATAAATGTACACTTTCCATCTCAATTCTAATTTTGTTAATACTGTATCATTTTTATCGCTTTTTCTCAACTCAATCTCATCACTCAAAAGTCGAGCAACACCGGGCATACTTAGCTAGTACGAATTTTATACTCCAAATTATAATTTAGCGAAGTGCAAATGGACTCCTTTCAGATAGAATATTTTTTTATTTTGAAGTCTTAAAACATTTTAACTAAAATCTAAAATTATAATTACAGTACTAAACTTATTGGAAGATATAACATATAAACATTATCTTAAATGTTTTGGAAAGAGATTAAGGAACCGTTGATTTAAGTTTATATCATTCACGAAATCATTCTATTGGAGAAATGTATTAAAAAAAAAAGATCAAGAAGCCATCTCTTTCGTGACGTTTGAAAGGTTTCCCACGAAGAAACCTTTCCTATACAAAATAAATCCAAGAACCGCAGTATCTCTACTTTCTTTCTCTTCCCCTCGGGGGTCAAATAATTCGACTTGACATTTACAAATTAACCTAGAATAATATTGACCTGATAGCGCATTTACTGGGTTTCGTTTCTGACTAAGCACTCGAATATCTTTGTATCGTCTTACTCTTTGAAAGATAACAAAGAACAACTCTATTATATATGAAAATAAAAAAATATTTAAATTTTCTACAATATACATATGTAAATGATATTCTACATCT